CGGGGCATTTATGTGCGCCCACTGAGTGACCAAAGCCAGCCCAAGCCATTCTTACGGCCCGGGCTCCGGGCACACGATGCATGCGTGGCCCCTGCCCCGGGCGCACAGTGCTGGACATGCGGTACGTGCGCAGCCCTCCCCCAGATGCACGGTGCATGCGCAGCCCCAACCCTGGGCATGTGGCGCCTGCACAGCCCCGCCCTCGGGCACGTGGCACGAGCGCGGCCCTGTCCCCGGACTCCTGGCAGCCCCAAAAGGTTGGGAACCACTGCTTTATGCCCTCTCCAAGCCCAATGCGTGGAATCAAGATCCAAACTGAAAAATAGTGTTGCAGGTACTAATGTAATGCGAGACTTGTTAGCAATGATATTTTTCATTGTTGAGATCCTTACATTAAAGGATCTTGCAAGTATTTTGTGAACATTTTTCTCACAGAGATGTTGGACAGATTTAGTAGTAATCTCATTTCACATATGGGAGAAACAGCGTTGGGGAGTGATCTGTTACCTATTTCTGCATTTGTTGTAGGTGTACATGGTGCTTCAAAGAGATGGGGTTTCCAATACAAAAGCCTGTTCTACTCCAGTTAATCATCAATGGGGGCAGGTTATAAAGTAGATCATATAAAGACAAAGGGTGCTGATGGATAGGATTGTGAAACAAAATTGTATAACTTGTGCACTCTTTAAAAATCTGATTACCAAGAAGAAACTTACATAATTATATATGTATTACAGACACAAAACTTTTATCAAAAAGTTTTTTAGGTTGTAAAGTCAAGCGCTTGAAAGATAGGAAGTATCAGATTTACAATAATCCGTGCAACCTTAACGCAGCTCCATGTTTATCCAAACTGTTATCTGAATAAGATAAGAATCCTGTGGAAAAAAATATTGTGAACATACTGTATAATTGGAATATATCAATGTATATATTGCAAGGGGGCAGAATTCAGGTTGAATGAGCAAATCCAACTGTGACATTTCCTAACTTCCAACTGCTTGACTTTGCAGTATAATTAACTTTCTTTTAATATATTTTTGCAAGACTCCTGGGTTTTTGTAAGGGGGGCGGGGCCTTACTTGCATCACTTTAGTTACAAGACTAACTCTGCTGATGGCCTGCTGGAGCAATATGCTGTATCCACAGGGATGGCCTGACTTGGCTCTCTTTCTTGTCTCACTATCAGGAGAAAGATATTTGCCCCATGTGGTCCTCTGGAATAGGGAACATATGCTGCTCTGCCCCGTATGGATCTGGTGTAGTTATGAGAGGAGCCTGAGGTGGGAGAGTCCTGCTTTGGGTGATGCTCTCATAGAAAATGATGAAAATGAGGTAGGACATATGATTGGTCTGAAGGGTATGTAATGGGGGAGGAGGGAAGGGGCGTGGCTTGCTCTATCTTTCCCTGTCCCCTCCCAGCTCCCAGGGCAGTGCCTGCAGCTTTGGCAATAGTGTAAGCCCCTGACTTCAGCATGTTTATGTTCAGTTAGTATTTTGGCATACTGCCAACATTTTCCAAAGGAACACAAGCAACAGACAGGAAATGGAAATTTTTAACAGTTTAGAACAGTTAAATCAATGGAAAATCCTGGGACGAAGAAAAGGCTTTTATCTAGCCCAAGGGTCTTTCTTCTGGTTGAACTTCACAGGCCTGTAGCAAACAATGCAGTGTAAAAATTTCCCCCAAAAGTAGAGTCACTTAAAATTGGATCACATTAGACATCCTAAGTAATAGGCTCTGTTCCATATCCTTCTATGAAACTTGCAGTGCATGATACTGACTGGTAGCTAGAATCCTTTTCCAAACCTTTGTGGCCCATACCCTGAGAGGCTAAGGAAGACACTTCCCTCAGGGCAGCTTATTTCATAATTTTCCATTTAGAGTTTTTGTAAATTCCGCTAAAGCATCTAGTATTAGCAGACAGGATGCTGGATGGAATGGGCCCCTGGACTAACCCAGCCTGCATGTCCTTGTACTCCAGGCACTCAGATCCATGCCTGGTCCTGTGGCCAGCATAATATCCCAGTTTTGGGAGAAAACCCAGCTTTCCTGACTTCTGCAGTTAGTCCAGAACTCAGGAGTCCTAGTTCCCAGCCCTTTGGTTAATGCAGTTCTGTTTGTTCTCCTTTAGCCCAGATGAACACTAGCCTCTGGTCGTTGAAGTCATCTTTTTGGGCGCCGGGCAGTAGAGCTGCGTGGGGAGCGCTTTGGTGCGTGTTTTCTGGAGGAGGACTCTGTGGCAGTCCGCTTCGCTCAGGCTGAAATCCGCTCCGTGTTTCGCAGTAAGGGAGCTTCCTTTTGTGGCGGAAGGTTGGATTCAGCTCCGCGGGATCCACTGCGGGTTTTGTGTGCGGCAGCGGCCTCAGGTTTGCTGAGTTGCAAGCGTCCGAGGCCTGCCTGCTCCTCCTTTGTGAAGCGGGGAGGCTCCAGTCCGAGCCGGGCTCCGCTCCGGGTTTGGCAGGCCGCCGCGAAGCTGGGGAAAATGGCAGTGCTGAGCCTCGTGTCGGAGGGGGCAGGGCT